TGAGATAGATTTGATACATCTTTAGAATTCCAAGCAGAGTGATTCCATAAACCTGGAAACAACACCACTATCATTGTTTTGAGTATCTGCAAATAATGACTGCGATTTGAAAATGTTTTAGCAACCATACTGATAAGACCTAGCCAGTCCTTGGTGGCATTTCCTTTAGGAGTATTGGCACCTCTAAGTAGGGACATTGCCTACATGCCTACTTCACCAGTAGAACTTTTTCTAAATATCACATTTGTATGAATACCAGGGGAAAACTTGTTTTCTAACCATCTGATGCCAGAATAGCTGAATTTTGTTATTAAATAAGAGTTCGTGAAACTACCCCTTCATATTGCATATGGGAAGTCCTCAAATGAGATATACAATGCCTGATCAAATCAATTGTTAAAAGGTACTCCGAGAAGAGGGCTATGAGAAACAAGAATACAGCACTAGAGCTATATTATTTTCTTGCATGAACATGAAAGCATTATTCTACCTTCACTGATTTGCCTCCATCAATAAAATATTTTGATGGTATAGACAAAATATAATCTCATAAGAGTCACTGGTGATTTTTCTGGCAGTTTTTTTTGTTGTCTATGGACATCACAAGTACACGTTTGTTCCAATAAAAGAGCACAGGTCTAGTGATAATTTGGCTCCCTGATATTTTGCATATCTTTTCATCCCCTGGGCTTCTAATATTTATTGAAGATGAATCCTAGTGATATTCCTTCAAAATGGAACTTGCAAATAGGGAAAAGTATAGACATTTGGCTCTGAAAATGGCTGTGATTGGTGCATTGGGTGAGAATTCGCCCTCAACTTTTTTTGCTGTGAAATTTTCAAAACCCTGGATATTCCCTTGCAGTTGTCACATGTTTCAAAAACATGTGACAACTGCAAGCAAAGTGGTACAAAGACTAAAACTTAGTTCACTGTCCCAGAAGTGCAAGGGTCAGAAGAGAGCCACTTCAGCCTATGAAGCTAGCAAGATTGAGAGCAGATTTGAATAGAACAGACGAGCAATATCACAGCTAGTGAAATGTGTGTGTGAGAATGGTGGAACTGAGTTTTCAGCTTTGACTTAACTGCTGAAGCCCAAAAGGTTTCTATGCACCTTAACTCTCAAGTAAAACATGCAACTTGTTGATACCATAAAAGGAGAAGTGCCTGGAATCAGCAAAATACTGGAAAAATGGCCTGCAAAGTGTTGGGGAAGGCAATCAAGAATTAATATGGTGCATTGAAAATTATCAAAATTTCATTTTGAATTGCATACACTATATGGCCATTGGCCATGGATAATGCCCATTGAATTTATACTCCATCTTCAATGAATGCAAGGGGGAGGCCTAGTGACTTTTGAAGGACAAATCATGGTTTTGCATGATGCAATTGAAATGCTCTTTGTGGCACACTGAAGCACTATTGCAACAGTGAATGTTTTACGCAAATACTGCGCCACTTTTACAGGTTTCCCTGGCTTAATAAAGAAGTTAACACTTGCCTTCAACTTAGCTCTGGCTTCTCCACTATTATTATTCCTGACTGAGTCATAAATGGCACCCATTGGGCACATCTTCCTGAGATGTTGATGGAGAACAAGGTAAATGATCCTATCAGAGATGTCAACAAACTCACTCATCACTGCAAATCAAATGAGGATCTTTAATCAGGCTTAAAACGGTGACCATGTTGGCATCGCTCATGACATTAAGTGGTTCCTCTGAGCTAGAGTCTTGTAAAATGATGAACAATGCTCAAGACTTGGCTTAAATTATGATGGATATAAGGGAATTTTCTACAAATGGTGCCAAGCTCAAGCATAGAAATGGCACTATGCTGAATCACTGACCTAAATTTAAAGGATACAAATTATATCTTCTGTCAAAGCTCCATGATATATGCCAACCACCTTAAAATGACTAACCAAAACATTCCCCAGTAGAGCCTGCCAGGGGCCAAATGACTATCAGTCCACTCTCCCTTTCTTCATGTAGTGATTCCAAACACATACCATTCATATGCTCAGTATTCCTCATTTCTGAATTTTATTAATTGCATCCTGACACCAGTATTAACAATGTTTTCACATGCCTCAAATCCAATTATTCCTACCTCTTAATAGGGGAGTGTAAACTCAACACAGGCTTTATGTAAATCACTTTAATCACAGTTTTTGCAATTGCACTAGGCCTAAACAATACTCAAAGTGGGCTTTTAAGGATATGTCAGATGGTAGGGTTTCATTTAATGATGATAAAAGTTTTCAATGGTAATGGTGGTGATACCTGCTAGTGTACAGTACTGCAGGTATTTGTACTATCTGCCAGTAACCAGTAGGGGTTGTATGAATACCATCACATCATCAATTTGTCTACTAAAATTATTTTTCTTATCCAGCAACAAATTTTGCCAATTTCATCAAATTAATGTTAGCCAGCTACAGTAATTTAAAATTTGATTAAGGTAAAATTTTGCCAGCTTGTGATGGTTCAATTATCGTTATCTCATTCTAGCCATACCAAATTCATTTAGAGTTGGCCACATGTTAGTTAGCCTACTTTAGCCCTGTGGATGCACGTGTGAGCATGAAAAGCCATCTTCTCTGAATATATCTGATGTCCATTCCAATGAAGGGTTATTCCAGATAAGTGGGCTAAGTCATGAACTGCATTTGCAATCCAATTTATTGAAACTAAGCTTAATTTAAGAACAGAATTTCAGAACACACTGTGGCTGGGAGAAGAGGGGGATTGACGATTAAATTTGTTTGATGAGAGCCTTCAGAGCAAAAATAAAATTATTACTACCAGTTTGAAGGCATGATGATAAATCAATGACAGGAATACACAGCAATAAAAAAAAGACAGTTCAAAGTATTTGGTTGGGCTTTGGTTATCAAGTAACAAGTTGAAGTATGCAATGTTTACTACTTCTGTCTTTTGTGAGCTGCTTGAAAATGAGAAATTTTGAATTACTTTAAGCAAAGTTTAATAGGATCATATGATATATGCTAATTAACTAAAGACAGTTGGCAGATTGGGCATCTTGCTAATTCAAAAAAATTTTAGGGACAGAGCAGCTCACATGGTCATATAGATTTAATATAATGATCAATAAACAGCCATATATGGCCATACCACAACAGCTTTATATTAACCTTATTTTTCTCCTAAAATCTCATATAAGGGAAGTCAATAAATTAGGTATAGCTTCCAAACAGTTAATTCCAGAAACACAAACATACACCATGGTTCACGTTAACTCACTATTTTGAGTCCCTGACTCATATTTTCTTGGAGGGATTCATACTTGCAAAACATCTAAGTCCATAGGACTCATTGACATGAACATGTTCCCACTGAGCTGAAGCTAGGTGCGAGGACTAAAGATTTAAAAAAAGCTAGTGTGAACCCTGTACAATATTTTTTAATGCAATCACCTCCTACCTCAACATATTTTTTCTTGCAACTGACAAGCTTTCTGATTCCATCGGAGATAATTTTTTTGGTAAAGAGCAAAGCCAATTATGCACTGCATTTTGAACATCTGCACCATCCCTGAACCTGCATCTTCTCTGAATAGTTCACACCACTTGTACACATTTTTCAATGATAAACAACTGTCCCCATATCACAATATGTCCCCATATCACACATTCTACAGTAAATTTCACTTTGCCGTTCAACTGTGATGCAATCTGAAAGCAGGGTCGCCATTGGCTGCTACTGGCTGCCAGCAACAATGTTACCAACTTTATATAAGAGAAACTATGAGTACTACATGTTCAGACATGCAGTAATGAGGGTATGGGGTAAGAAGTATATAATGTCTGTGAAAAAAGTAAATTCACCTTAGTTATTGATTCAATCTCGTACTTACATAGAAGGCAATAGGAGAACTGCAACTTTCCAGATGTGAATTCAATTGAAATAGACTTATTTCAATCAAGATTGGTAGCATTTTCTAACTCAATTGACTGGATAACATAGGTACAGGCTGTGTACAATGCTTGAAAGCAGTTGCATACATACATAATTAAGCCTTTCAGAATTGAGCCTACTCTTTTAGGATTACAAAATATCACCATGTTTCTTGCTGGGACCTATCTCATTTTCACATGTCAAGTGTTCAAGTATCCATACTTACTGAATCTCACCAATAGGGAGCTCAGGTTGGGCTTTCCTTAATTCCAAAAGTAGTAGTATATGACACCTAAAAGCAACCAGGTAAACTTTCAGCTTAGGATAATCTGCATACAGCGCCTTTGAACCAAACCTGACTCTCCATACACTAGTCTAAAGTAAGTAATGACCTTATATGAGCAATATGAAATGGCTCTTGCCTTGAACTCAACAGAATACATGACAAGTAGTTTCTTGGCTACTCTCTTTCAGATATGATGAAACAATAAAGCTTAGGGAAAAAAAAAAAAAAAAAAAGCTACATTACAATAAAGGCCTAGCGCAAACGCTTCAAATATTTCATGACAAGCTAACATTCATTCCCAGAACCAACTTCCTTACTCCTCATGCAAAAGTTCATCATCCCATTTCATGATGATTGTGCAACACATATCATTAGGAAGTTGTATATTCAGCCCTTTATGAAGTCCTACAAAAGGATGTGAGGGAAAAGGTTTCTGAGCATCTTGCCAAGTATGCCTGAAGACATATGGCTAAGTTGTCTCCAAAGGGTATAAAGTGAACAAATAGAGAACAGAGTTAAATACATAAATAAAGAAAATAACATTTTAATCCTTTTTTCTTTATTTTCATTCGGTTATTATGTTATTTATTTATTTCTCTCACACTCTTTCTGTTCCCTGTTTGCCTTATTCCATTCAGGTACAACACAGCCATTCCCTTGAAGCTTGTTTAGCTGAGGTACTCTGAACCTTTTCCATCACATCTTTTCTCTGGAACCTAAGACAATAGTCTCATCCATTTCCATAAGGTGATTTTAAGTAGAAATACTGAAGATGATATGATAATACTCACTTTCAGAGGGAAAGATTGAGGCTGGATCCAGAGACTGAGTTCCAAGAGGACCATTTGCTTCAACCCCTCCCATGAGCTGCGGCTTCACGTCTTTGTCCCCAACACAATTGCCCATAGCACTAGCCGAAGCACTTCCACACATGCCACTTGCACTTGTACTAATCGCACTGCTGGAGGCTCTTGTCACTCCACAACAAGAAGGGGTCACCACACCACTCACAGTATTATCACAGCATTCACCTCCATTGAGGACACCGTTGCTGGCATCACTTTCATCTTTGACATCCACAACTTCAGACTTGATCCCGGCATCCCCATTGCTGGCCGACTGGGGTGCGCTGGTCGTCGTATTTGGGGCCACTCCGTTACCGTTTTTCATTGACTGGTTTGTGTCACTGGAACTGTTTGAGGAAATTTTTGCCTTGGGTTCTTTGGAGATCATATCTCCCAGCACTGATACATGCACCTGGGTGCTTGATCTCTTGTCCACCTCAGCATCTGATTCCAGGTCTAAATCTTCTATTTCTTCGTTTTGTCCACTTTTGGATTCCTAAAAAAAAAAAAGAAACTCTACATGCTGTACACTCGATGAAAGTGAATTTTCCAATATCTCATACACTATGAAACCAGGAATCTACTAGTGATGTAGACTTCACCAGGAAAAAAAAGATTATCTGACCTGGATTTTTGAAGATTGATCAAGAGCAGCTTGAATCACAGTATCATGAGGTGTACCACCACTGGTACCAGTGTCTTCACCCAACTTGCGAATCACGGCTTCCAAGTCCTTAAGCGTCTCACAAACCGAGGAGGAATTTGATGCGTCACTGTCGTCTTTCCCAAAACTGTCCTGAAGACCTAGGAAAGGGAAAAGGTACACTCCATGTAGAAGCATTTCAATATTGTTGTGCATTTTGACTTGACAGCTGTGCATGAGAACTTCAGAACTCAAAGTCAATGCAACACTGTAAAAAATGTAAACTAGACAAAAACAGATTTGTCTGACAATGAAATGCCCAAGACCAGGAAAGGTAAATATCTGGATCTTGATAACACTAGATTGCCCGTTTAATCTATCCCATGCGTATAACCCCTCAGATACATGCATACTGGGAGCAAGTTCATGGGAATAACATCATGCTAGACAAAACAGAAAGGTACATGAAACCAACATTGAAATATGTATTCAAGTCTCTCAAAGAAAGACTGCATCAAAAAATACATTATAATCAAAACTCTTCTCAACGTAAAAATCCAAATTTTGCTGGTTGCACCATCAAGTGTCACTTTGTAGAGTGATCTGCTAACTAGGAATATTCATGAGGGCCATCATAATTTAAATTTTCTCTCCAGTGCCGATTCAGTTGAATTCTACTAGCACATGTGAAAATGGAGGGTTAAATAAACAATAATTGATTAAATAAGGAACTTAAAATTAATATTTCATGAATAAACCTTAGAAAAAAAATTAATCTGGTGATGTACCACTTGTCAGAAACAAATGAACAGGTCTACCCCTATGTCAGGATGAATGGTCAAAGTTGACAAGATGAACTCACCATCTATACAGCACAAAAGATTGGAGAAGGCATCCTGTTCACCAGGGATTGCATGCTAGAGAAAAAAGACAAAAAGAAAAGACATCCATGGTGTAACACCTGCAGGTAATGAAGTCACACTCTTCAGACTCCAGAGGGAAACATACAGGAAAGTCAGGCCACACATCTCTCATGACTCTGTCCTCTATGATAAAACCACCGCTTTTGTTTAGCTAGACCACTCCAGATAAGATAATTGTGCAGCTTTTCCTTACATTTCCTTGCCTCGCACATCCAATAATACCGTAAATCACTGGCAGCCATATCCTGCGCCATAAGGTGCCAAGAAATAAAAAATTGTTTGATCAGTGCCAATCATGACTCATCTGATTTGTTTCATTTCTCTTGCACTAACTGAAAAGTCCTGGACGTTAACAATCGAAATATGGGTGACTCACCATATCATCAGGTGACCATCAAGTCTCCGGAAATACCTGAGCTCCTGATTCACACCATCCGCAACCATGGAAGATCAGGCAACCTGGAACATTCAAAGAACTCAATCAATCCATCATCATATCGTGATGAAATAGTGTAAGCCTCAAGGGCGACGGTGTTGCCATCTCCCCGCCCCCCATTCCATTACGCCACTGTTTCCCGGAGTGAGCAATTTTTTTACCAACGAACTCGATCTACGCGGAAAAAAAATACCGGAGGGGGAGAGAGTGGAAATATAATAGCAGTTCATGGTCCAAAGGCACACATGATTTCCATGACAAAGGAGGAAGGGAAGGAACGTCCTTCGATGGTGGAATGGAAACCCGCCCTCTCGTATGGAATCCCTCCATCCGGTACAATGAATAATCTGAGGGGTGAGATCAGGGCGCTTTGCTTTCAAAATCATCGCCTCATCATCGGCGACGTCGTCATGACAGTGTTGCCATGTTGACCCTACGTATACAACAATCCTCACACCCTCCCCCTAGCGGGGAAGCCCTCACCCAATCGCTCTCGAATGAACCCATTCCGGGCAGATGGGGGCCTCACGAGGTCATTCGTTCCGAGGAAACAGGTATTAACACGGAGCTATCTGGTGGCTGGAGAGTCGGGGAGGGGCAAAAGTAGGCCGAAACAAGGTCATCGACTCACCTTTATCTTGCTTCTGGATCTCTTCTGATGAACCTGCCCTGCTCCGGTTACAGCTCACGTGCTCGTGACCATCCCACAATGATCATTAAGCACGATGAAGTTTTTTTCGCCACACTAGGTGCCTTGAATTTTTTTTTGTGCATAGGCTAGGCATATTGTTGCATCACGGCATATCTTATTGCTTAGTTCTGGTGCTCTGCATGATAAAAAAAAGTTCAATACTTCAATAGTTTAGTGTAGCCAAATAATAGGCTTAATAAGGCACATCCTAGGGCGCCATTAGTGCTAGATCGGCTTGGCCTCGCAAAGGGGTCGACTTCAATTATTTTTACTAAGAGTTCACATTTTCCGACATCCGTCTGTGACACTTTCCATGCACTAATGTCGGCGGGTAGCTTAGCCCAAACATGAGTCCTAAACTATTATCTTCCGTTCATAACATACGAGGAGAACGGCCATTGGGCTAGGGTGTCTCGCGAGGCGAAAATCCTCTGCGCGCCAATGCTAACACCTAGGCTAACACTGCAGCCGACGGTAGGCCTACCTGTGTTAATGCGCCTGACGGGGTCAGGGCCAAGTTGGGCCTGCACAGACAATAAAGTCTACACCGTATCCTCATTATTCTCGGCAATAAACAAACTTGGACTAGGTCTAACCTGGGCCGTGTAATCCACGAGCCCCACGTGAGGAGACACAAGGTCCTAGGCCAGGAGAATCCTTAGGACTACGCTTATCGTTCATCAAACGCAGAAACCACAATTCCATGGTTAATGGACCTCAGCCCGTTTGCAGATATTCTTCCAAGCCCAGGCCTACTGTTTCAACATGGCCAAGGGAGGCGCACGAGATGGCGAGGAGAGATCCGCAGGGGAGAGACACTGTTGTAGGCTTAGGCCTATCCAAATCAGCGAAGCCAACACGAGGCCGTGATCGGAACGGAACGCGGGATCCCATTCAAGCCGGCGCAGAAACTCCCCGCTCCTCTCAATGCGCACATCTCAAACAAGAAATGCACACACCGTTGCAGGCGAGGCGAGCAAAAAGAACGACGGGAGGTTCTCGTGAAGCAGCACCCAGCAGCAGGCGCAGATACACACACATACACATACACCGACACACACGAAAAGAGAGGGAGAGAGAGAGAGAGAGAGGAGCAAGCAGTAAGCAAGTCAAAAAGCGCCCGGGCGGCCCCAGTCTGATAGAGACCGGAGGGGAGAGGAGGGGGACAGTGATGCCGGATCAATCAAGCACTTCAAGCCCTTTCTCACATCATTATACCCTCAGTGATTCATCAATATTCTCACTGACGGAGTCCCGGCCATCGATCCCAACTGACGACCTCTGCTGGAAAACACATTTAATGCCATCGAGTAAAACTTCGTGGTTTACGAAGGTTTGAAGGATATTTCACTTTACCGAGAACATCGTTTCCGCAACAGAACTGGACAAGGAACAAATAAAGACTAATAACGTCTGCTCTTGCATTTGCATAGTTGGGTATAGATGTATGATAGAGGGAGAGAGGAGTGAACGACATGCGGGAAACGAGCAGGGTTGCCACAACAGGAAAAATTTCACAACCTTCATTCACGGGGTCTCTCCCTAGCAATTCATTTGCGGTTGCACAAGTCTCGTTCCATTTCCATGTCCATAAAATTGCGTGGAGACTGGTTGGATCAGTGCTCTGCCTCTTCCTCCATCCCCAATCTTCCCGCATTTAAGGGACGAGGGGAAACGAAACGAGGCGCAACAAGACTGTACTTTTGCCAGAGCGACTCCAAGGACGAGAGACGGGGGCTCACCCCTTTAAAAATGGAAAAAGTAGAAACGAAGGGCCAGGAATAAAAGCTCTCGGCTTGCGCGGAATATGATCGAAGAGCACGTGCGGGGTGGGGGAGGTTAAGGAGGGGGAGAAAAAAACCGGGCTTGAACAGTCAATTGCTTGTCAGTGATTCGGGAGGGGAGAAATGACAGTGATTTGAGGGGAGGTGAATCGATTTGGGACATCTGGCAACCCGAAGGATGCAGGCAAGGCAGTACCTTCGCCTCGCCCCAGGCTAAAGGGAAGGCATTACAGACAGAAAAGCGTTGGTTGGTTATATACCCCTCTTCGGTCTGACCCCTTCGTCTTCGTCTCCCCCCCTTTTTTTTTCTTTCGTTCTTTGAAACGAAACGACCCTCTCTGCTTGGCTCTACCACTTGCTCGCACACTCAACCCTCCCAGCTCGATTCATCGAATTCCTCGTGAATTTTTCAACATGTTCTCTCTTTTTTTCGTTGCCGTGTCAAGAGCAGATGGGGATGGAGGAATTCCTTTGATCCAAGAGAGAGCGAAGGTTTCCCTGGAATATCCCCTGGGGATGCAGGAGAAATTCCCATTTCGGGTCCCTCCAGGACGCCTGGAACCCATTTTCTCTTTTCCCACACACCCTCTTCCCGACCCCCCTACATTCACAATTTGGGCTTCCCTTAATTTTATCAATATCAGCTGGCGCTTCCCAATACATAATTCTCCATACTAATAAACTTGACACCCCCTGAATGGCTGACAGATGGCAATGCGCATCTAAGGAAACTTCCTCCGAGGAGACAATGTTAAATGCTTACTTTCATCTAGTTTTTCTCCAACACGGGGATCGACAATGGCATTTAAAATCACATCACGTGGAGACTCTTTCTCTGCAGGGTGCCTACAGGCTGTTACGTACGTGTCGCGGGTTCCTTGGGTCCACGTGCGACTGCACTGGGTCAAAGCATTCTTTCTCTGGATGGAAACGATAACGGATAGCTAACAGAAACAGTTTTACATACTAAGTTATTTCGGAGGTGCTGAGGTATACACTTCATCAGGAAAATATGGATTTTCGAATGCTTGTGCTTTCTTTTCCCAACGAGCACGTGTACGATACTAAGTCTGCTTTTTAGCTCCCTCTATCTTGTGTCCGTCTTTCTTCTCAGCTTTCTTATTGCATGCCGACCTTTATTCCGTATTATTTCCAGTATGCAATCTCAACTTGAATACTATATCTACTCTATTTTCTTCTGTAGCTGTTCACAAATTCGTTTTACCCAATCACGCAAAACTCCCGTTTCAAAATCTGACCTCAGTGTTGAGAAAATATCATTGCAATGTATTTCTGTCATAATATTGATACAGAGGAGTAGAAGAATAGAATCAAGGAAGAGGAAGTGTCGGCATGTGTTCATTTCGAAATCTCTCAAACCACGGCCAGAGAGAGAGAGAGAGAGAGAGAGAGGGCGAAAAAGAGAGAGGAGGGAGGCCTCGTGTTTCCGGCAATGGAAAAGCTTTCCACTTCGATGTGGATTTCAAACATGTCCAGGTTTCCATGAAAGGATATGAAGGTGGAAAAATGTTGTGACGATGGTTGAGGATCAGACATTGTAATACAGGCACTCCAGTCGTCAAAGTAAAAAACTGGTACCCCGGGTATTAAAAAAAAAAAAAAAAAGAGGGCGGTACAGGGTGTATCCAGAGGCTTTGGAGTGGGGAAAGGAGGGAGAGAGAGAGAGAGAGACAGAGACAGAGACAGAGCAGAACGGCATTCCAATGCCCCAAGCACTGCATGATTGCGAAACAGGGAAAGCCTGCCCTTTATTATCAGCTTGACCGGTTACAGACGCAGGTTTTATGAAGAGACCGAATACGATGAACCCACAAGACCAACTGCTCTGGGGAAGCAAAAAGAAATCTAGGCTAAAAGAACGACTCATCTGCATAAGTGGAACGAGGACTCGCCTCTGGGTTTCACTGAATACGGGGCCATATTAGAAAGGAGCAGAAAATTCTCTGCTACCTGACCTCAGGACATCACATTGTCGCATTACCTTTCCGTCTCGGGCAAAAAAATATAAGAAGCATGGCGGCGCATACATAAATTATAATATTAAGTAGATATATCATATAGATACTGGTAGGCTGTGGGGCCTCACGCACTACAGCACGGAGTTCAATCAAAGGGAAAATTTCTCCAAGAATGAAACAATACACAGACTTAGCAGAAATTGACATGAAATACAAAAATAAGATTGGTGAAATGGACTTTACGAAAATATAGATCCTTCATACTTGTCCACCGGGGACCCTCCTAAGCATGCACATTGTTCGATTCCGAAGGAAGAGCATGGGGAATCGGAGGAGGGCTATTAAGTACCCCACATGTATATACGTATGGAGAGAGAGTTTGAGCTTGATCAATGATGGATGCATGTGAAAAGGCCGTGAAAAAGGTCCCTGAAGTGTGTCTGTTGAGTCGATGCTCTCCCCTCTCTCCTCTCCCCTTTGTCCCTTCTTCATAATCATTCTTCATACATAAGAGAATATATGCCGTCCCCCTCTTCCCTTCTTCCACCCTAAAAAGACATCCGAGGGTACTGCCATTGATCTTACGAGGTACTCCGACTGCTTCGCATTGTCCGTGGCCAGACATCAATATCATCATAAATCATCGTCCGTCAGAGTACACAGACGGTATGAGGAGCCAGAAAAAAAATTAAAATCTTCTAAGAGCTCAAGCGATTGACTGCGATTAAATTTAGGAAGTAATTAAACAGCAGATGCAGAAACTAGCCACGATTTAAAAATATGTAGGTCCACTAAATTGAAATTACGTAAAATGAAATATAATTCCACGTGAAGGCAGAAGAAGACATCTAAGATGGAAAGCGTTGAAAATATTCATCGGATTAAGCAACAGCCTTCATGATAGGGATGTGCAAAATCGAGAGTGCAACAGGGACGAATTAGAAAAACAGGAAGGTTTTCTTGTGTGCAAAGAACACAGCAGAGCACGACATCCCTTCCCCTCTTCCCAGGAAGACTTCCTGTTCTTCCGCTGTGCCTCCACATTCACATGTACAAGGAGATAGAGGACTCCCCTCCTTCCCCCCCCCCCCCCCCCCCCCCTACTTCCTGTGACACACCACACTGGGGGGACGAAAATAGTTACCTCACCCGAGTTACAACGGCCGCATCGGAAAACATACGGTGTTACCAGATACAACAAGAATCGAGGAATGTTTCACGCCGAAAAAGATGGGATTCATGGATGTCTTCGAGAGTAGGAGTATTTTCTCGTGAGAACGGGGTCTAATCGAGTGGCCGTGGTTTCACGAATGGGAATGACGATCGACGCAACTGACACCTGAGGCTGCATAATGCCTTCGTCCAAACGCCGCATCTCCTTACCTTCCAGGAACTCCAATCTATCATCTCCGAACGGGCGAGAGAGAGAGAAAAAGAGACTCAGAGAGAGACGTATAAGCACATACGAAAAAAAAGAGGCAGGAATTCATATATGGAGGGGAGGGTCTCTCTCTTTCTCATATAATCTGGACACTTTGAGGGCCATTTGCTCGAGGGTGTACGGAGGAATGACGTCACAGCGGTCAAAGCACGCTCTTTTTTTTTCCAGCCCTTGTCTCTGTTCCACTGATGTTCCGGATGGGATCCACCAGATGGCACTCCCTGTCAGGTCTGTCTCTCAGCGGTGTCAGGTGGTGCTATGATCCAGCCACTACTCGACATCACTCGTATCTCAAGCCCCCGCACTCTCCCCGCCCATGCATCCTGACCTTGGCTGGGACGATCCTCGTCGATGGTATATGGCAGGCCTGTGGTCCCGTCGGTTTTTTTTTTTAATCGTCTGCGCGAAAAGGGGAAGTCTTTCCAGGGTGACCTTCATGATAAGGGAAACTATCTCCAATCTCGTTTCTAGAGTGAACCTTGTCTCGGTGCAAAATTCACCTCAAAGTACTGCGCACGTCGCACTATGCACCGTAACGACTGGTGGATGAAGGCTAAACCCGAGCTACGTAAGCTAGGGATCCGGCCCATTGACGTGGGGATCACTGCCTTCCCTTGTCGATCCCCTGTCATCTGTTCGCTAATCGACCGTAAAAGAAGCATTGTTGACAGAGAGGTCCAGAGACAGGCC